GGGAAATCATTAGAAGAGGTTAAAGAATTTAAATATCTAGGGATTTGGTTGGATAGCAGGTACACATGGAAAAAGCATATTGAGGAAGTGGAAAAGAAGTGTATAGGAAAACTTTTAATGCAATAAGGGCAATAGCAGGCAAAGAATGGGGAGCAGAGAGATCATTAATGCCCACAGGCTGTATCATCCCAAAGTGTGCCAAGAAAATATCCCCCACACCACTACACCACCAACACCAGCCTAAACCATTGATACAATGCAGGATGGATCCATGCTTTCATATTGTTGATGGCAAATTCTGACCCTACCATCAGAATGTCACAGCAGAAATCGAGACTCATCAGACCAGGCAACATTTTTCCAATCTTCTATAGTCCAATTTTGGTGAGCCTGAGCTAACTGTAGCCTCAGTTAACTATTCTTAGCTGACAGGAATGGCACTAGCTGTGGTTTTCTGCTGCTGTAGCACATCTGCCTCAAAGTTGGACGTGCTGTGCATTCAGAGATGCTTATCTGCAGATCTTGGGTTGTAACGAGTGGATATTTAAGTCAGGGGTTCCCAAACTTTTCAGCCCGCGACCCCTAAAATGAGAATGCCAGTGACTCGTGACCACCAATATTCTCTGAGGTAGTGGTTATAAATACAGAAACCTTGTATGCAATGACGCGCACACACACACACCAATAGACCCAAGTCTATTCTGTTTTTTTTATGTATGTCAGTGCTGTAAATGGGCTAGAAAGTTTAACCTAGTGTTACAAAATTTGCTGCATCTGACAGTATTGCTGTGTCTTTAGTATAATGTAATTACCCGAGAAGTCGCAATCCAATAGAACTAGTAACTATAAACAACTATTTTTTCTCATCAGTAGGTTGATAAAATACAGTAAGTCTTAAGGTTTAATAAAAATTAATTGATTTTTGAAAATCACCAGGCGACCCCCCTTCATTGTCCAGCGACCCCTCGGGGGGTCCCGACCCCCACTTTGAGAACCTCTGATTTAAGGTACTGTTTCCTTTCTATCAGCATGAACCAGGCTGGCCATTCCCTTCTGACTTCTGGCATCAACAATTCATTTGTGCCCACAGATCTGCCACTCACTGGATATTTTCTCTTTTTCTGACTATTCTCTGTAAGCGCTAAAGATGGTAGTGCGTGAAAATCCCAGAAGATCAGCAGTATCTGAAACACTCAGATCAGCCCATCTTGCACCAACAACCATTCCCCGTTCAGTCACTTAACTCATGTTTCTTCCCCATTCTGATGCTCCGTTTGAACCGCAGCCAATTGTCTTCATCACGTCTACATGATCTGAATAGTGTTGCTGCCATGTGATTGGCTGATTAGAAATTTGTGGTAAGTAGTTCAACAGGTGTACCTAATAAAGTGGCCGTTGAGTGTATACCGTATGTGTCCTAGTGAGTAAAGAGAAAGATAGAAAGAGATTTAGGAGAAGAAAAAAAAAACGACAGCTTGCTTTAGTTTGTATTTGGGTTGTTCCTTAAAACTTTTATCGAAACTGCTGCATAAAAATGACTTGACAAAGAAAGTACCAAAACTAATTACGTAGCAGGTGATTAGAAACACAATGGGTTGAAAAGAAAATCACGCACATTTATAAAGACAAGAACAGGCCCACTCACAAACTCCCTTTTTGACAAGTTGTTGGAGTAAAAAATACACAAAAACCAACACAAGTCAAACACAAACATCATGCCACGCTTTGTTGTTGCATGTTCAAATTCATTGTGCAAATCGTCAACTTCTGAGTGCATCATTGTCATTCAGGGTTGGTCATATGAAAGTCGATGTCATCCTACGAAATCTATCACATTAGTAAACGAAAACATGAGAAAAGTAACCATAACAAATGCGCATGTAATAATAAATAAAAACCTCAACATGGTGTATCATTGGTAAGATGTATTAGTTAAACCAAATGAAGTTTAAATGTAGATGCATATTAAATTAACAGAGATGTTAGTTACGCTTCTTATATTTGGATTCAAGCAGCTCGGGGTACTTCAATATTCCAAAACAAAACAAAAAAATCTTGCTACATACAAAAAGGAATATAAAATGCCGTTTAAACAACCAATAACTTTGTCCTTTCATGTTTTACAGTGTCATCCAACTGTAAATTTAGCAGAAACAAAATCAGTGCAATAATATTTTCCAGTGTAATCTCAAAGTGAAGTGCTTCTCTGGAAAATCCCACTTGGGATACAGTTGCAATAAGGTCATTTTGTAAACCTTCATCTCTCCCTTGCATCTCTATGTGACACCGAAGCCTTTCTGTCCTGCTCATTCCTGAGCTACAGCATTTTGCCACATTTTGAAAACTGTTATTCAAAATGAAATATAAAAAGTCTTACATGCTTTAGATGGTAACAGAATGCCGTCTAGAACTGTGTGTGATACAGACAAAATACAGCTTAATGGCACATAGTTCTCTACTGTACATGGTTTAGATGCTGTTTTCCATCAGAGAAGTGAGATTAAAGTGCAATTTAGAGAGATTTAAGGGTTTATGAGTAGGACATTTAGATCGTTTTTCTGTTCTAACTGTGCGGATTGATGCAAAACTTTTTAAAGGCACAGTTTGCAACTAATTGTCAGTTTTCCTTCATGTATACTGTAACCGAGCAGCAATTGTATTAATCATTTTCTACATTTTACAAAAGCGTAACACTTAATAATATCTCTTTCTGTTGCATTTATATTAAGTGCTCTTTTTTCACATCACCTATGGCTTTTTCCTTACAAAAAAGGCTCTAATCTTTAATTTAACTTATATATATATAATGTCAGTAGACATCGATTTCAATTAGCTTTTGGTTGATTCAGTTAATTGTTTAATTCATATGGATAACACCATATTTTACAGTATCGTTGTTACATGTACTTGAAACAGTATATCAAGTACATATTTTCAGCTAATATAACTGTAAATTCAAGGCAAGACACTGCAGGTGAATGAGATTTAAAAAAAAACTTATCACCATACTTTCATAGTCAGTTGATTATGTAACCCTTCTGGTTGTACTGCACTCATCCTGTTCTGAGCTGGGATCAAACCAGCGATTCTTCGTATGGGAGTGGGTTGCTCTAACAAGGAGTCTAAAGACTATGGCCTCTAGCCAGGGCCGGCGCGTCCATAGAGGCGACCTAGGCGGCCGCCTAGGGCAGCAGTATAGAGAGGGCGGCATCCGCGACACCTCTCTTACCACCCGCGTCCTCAGTTATGTCCGCGACACCTCCCTCACCACCCGCGTCCTTAGATATATTTGCGCATAGACGACAAAATAGAGAGGGCGGCGTCAGCGACACCTCCATCAGCACCCGCGTGTCCTCAGTTATATCCGCGCATAGGGCGGCAGAATTGAGGTCCGCGACACCCGCACGTCCTCAGTTATATCCGCGCATAGGGCGGCAGAATAGAGAGCGCAGTGTCCGCGACACCTCCCTCCCTTCCTCCCTCAGGACCCGCGCATCCTTAGTTATATCCGCGCATAGTGCGCTGGAATAGAGGTCCGCGACACCTCACTTCATTTTCATAACCGGTCACTTTCGTTTTCACGTTGGGGTTGAGGGCGGCATGATCGTCCTCTGCCTAGAGCAGCAGTTCAGCTTGCTCCGGCCCTGCCTCTAGCGCCTGTCACTAGAGAACCTTTTGAGGTCAGAGGAGTAAGGTTTACCTGCACAGCACTTCACTGGCTGGCCACACTCACCCCCCTAAACCTCACTCCCATCCGGGTCACGGCACCAATGTAACCCCGCCGGTCCTACTGCACTCTTCCCGTTCTGAGATGGGATCGTGATTCTTCGCATGGAAGTCGGTTGCTTTAACAAGGTGGCTAAAGACCATGGCTCCTAGCGCCTGTCGCAAGAGCATGTTGCGTTCACACCAGACTCAAGCGTCAAGCGTGAGTGATTTACATGTTAACTCAATGCAAAGATGCGGATGAATCTGCGCGAGTTGAGCATTTTGCACGACCAAATAAGCGTACCTAGACCTGCCTGAAGAGGTGGTCTCAGTACGCTTTCAAACGAACCCTGGAGCGGTTCGTTTGTGGTGAGAATATGATTCGAAATAAAACAGGTCCAACCGCAAAAAGTACTGCGCCTTTTGGACTAATCCAGCTGCCATAGGCCGATGCGCTGTGCATTATGGGATATGGAGGAAAAATATTTGATGACAGCTCTTTACCAACAGAGAGAGAGAGAGAGAGGGGAAAACATCACCTGATGGATCGTTGGTAATATTTCTGCAAGATGATCATGTCGCAGTTTAGCTAAATTAATTCACGCCTCCTCCTGAAGTGACAAGCGATGCATTAAAACATTGTTTTCCACCAGCAGCCGCGCTTCATTCTCGAAATGAATAGTTTGTCTAAAGCAGGGATACAATCAGTCAGCGCAGTCGTCCCTCCAGAGTAATAACGACATTTTGTGTCTGCCGGTTTTGTTTACTTGCGGGAGTTCATTGGCATTTTCCTGCACGTAAATTCTAACCAATCAATAAGCAGTAAATATGTTCAACAACATCTGGCCAATGAGAGATGTGGATTTTGTCAGATGACTGCATTTTGGTTCGTTTCAACTGGTTCGGACCAAAGCCAGCAGTGTGGTGTGAAAACGACCCAAAGACGGCAGAAAATGCAACAATGTATTATTTATTGCCCTCGGTCCAGACCAAATGAAGCGAACTACAGATGTGAACTATGTGTGAAAAAAATCTTAATAGTGAGTTTTGATTGTATTCTTTTCATTGTCCTGAAATTAAAGCCAAAAAAGGCCCAAAATCTTAAAGTTTTAGCCTGAAGTGTCTCGCCTTAAAAGCAAAGTTCACCCAAATTGTACATTCCCTCATTATCTACTAATCCTCAAGAGTTTCCAAACTTTTATGAATTTTTGTTGAACAAAAAAGAAGATATTCTGAAGAATGTTGGAAACCAGCAACCACTGACATCCATAGGATGTAAAAAACAAGTACAATGGAAGTCAATAGCTGCTGATTTTAAGCATTCTTCAAAATATCATCTTTTTATGTTTACCGCAAAGAAGAAAGCAACACATTTGGAACAAGTGGAGGGTGGGTAAATGACAGAATGTTTAATTTAGGGTGAACTATCCCCTCAAATATACAATTGCACTGTAACAAGGACACTGTAATATACAGTGTGTTTCACCGCTGACCTTTGGTCTATCATTGTGACGGAGGCTTTCCCTCTCAAGGTTGATCTAGTTTCAGTTCTAAGACTATATATGAATCGCAAGTGCATGTTGGCAAGGATGTCCAGTAAGAAAGACAGGGCACAGTGATGGTGTTTGACCTTACACTCATTCTCATCCTTACACACATTCTCTGAGGTGAGTTGTCAGTGTAGATGTGCACTAGGGTCATAATTTAGCGTGTGGGTTGGAGATGATTTCTGCAGGGTGGTCTTTGATGGGGAGGTCTTTGCTCTCTCCTACATCTGTGCTCTCACAGCTGCTCTGAGGAGACTCAGGGGGCGGCTTGTAAAGCAGGGTGGCCAGCAAGAAGAAAAAAGTGCCTAAAACCTGTGAATGAGAGAGAGAAATTGAATTTGTGATAAAAATGGCCCTCAATTTCATTTAAAGTAAACATATAAGGTTGCTGTGAATGTGATCTGTAAGTAAAATGCTATTTTGTACCACAGGTCCAATAGACAGGACAAATTAAATCTAGGTAATGCAACCACATAAAAAGACTGTTAAAGTATCTTAAAATAAATCCTGTTCTTTTCAACTTTCTATTCATCGATGAATCCTTAAAAATATTATAATGTTCCCATAAATAATATTAAGCAGTGCTAACTACTTAATTTTTTTATTTCTTTTAAAGAAACAAATGGAGATTATTTGTTTTTTTGTTTTTTAACCAAGATTTGCCAAAGGTACCCATAAAAATCACTTAGTGTAACAGGTTATTTGCTGATTAGCTTACATGTAAAAAAGCAATATAAACACTGGCATTCGCTGTTATTTTCTGTTCAACCTTTTCTTCTTTTGGTGAAAATATAATACATAATGAAAACATTTGTTAAATAAGAAAATTTGTAAAAATTGTGAGAGGGGTCTGGATGCAGACCTGGGCCCTTATGTACGAAGACTTGCGTTGAATTCACACTAAAACATTGCGTGCGCACAAAAAGCTGTAAATGTGCGTACGCAGTAAAAAATTCGGATGTATGAAACACTGTGTACACGGAATCCCACGGATATTCTCTGTGTACATCCGAATTAATGTGAAACTGAGCGCACGATTCACGAATCTGATTCAAGACCTTTATATTTGCTAAAGTGCATTCAATGTTGAATGAGTCAGCTTTGGTTCTCAGGCGACATTTCTGCATTATTTACTGGAATTCTAACAATATCCAAGTGTATATTTGTCTACCTTGTAGATGATGCCGGCGACGAGCGAGTACTGACTCATGGCTGAGTTGTGGTACAGGTAACAGGAGCCGTATTCCCCACACTGCTCCTCCCACAGCAGGCAGGAGATGTCGATCACAGAGCCGAACGCTATGGGGCCTGGGATCCCACCCAGAGTCCTGACCACGATCCACTGGATTCCCAGTCCAAATGATCTCTGACTGTCAGGAACACACCTGAGGTGAACACCATTACATGACAAACATCTGTTTTATTAGGTAATACTGTCTGTGTTTGAAAAAAATTAAAGCTTACATATAACTTATAATCAGTATAATTCAGTTTGAAACAGTAGTATGCTATACGGTGGTATACTGTTGTCACGTGGCATTTATCTAACATTTTTAAACTAAGCAACAATTTATAAAGTTAATCATGTGCACGTGTGTGTTTGTCTACCATTCACTTAAATGCTGCATTTACAAAAATACAGTAAAATAGTAATTTATTAAAGTAAAAGGCCCGGTTTGACATTTCTGTAGTCTAAAGGCTGATTTATACTTCTGCGTCAAACGCAGGCGTATGCTACAGCGCTGACGCATAGCCCTTCGCCGTGGCCGTCGCTGATGTGCACCTCTCAAAAAATGTAACTACACGTCGCAACGACGCGTAGCGTAAGCTCTGTGATTGGTCGGCTTGGTAGCGCTGACGAGTCTGGGCGGGACCGAGAGCCGCGCGAATGGCGCGAGCGATTGTTTACAAGTGTGGAGTCCCGTGAAGGAGCTCCGGATGGAAAGTTTTGTGTGTTTACCTCATAGTTAAATTTGTTGCACGTCCGCCGGTTTCTGCCTCAAAATGAGCGAGTTTGAGCCACTTGTACATCCCGGAAGTGTTCAGGAAACGCAAAACAGAGGCGAAGAAACTCGACACAGAGGAACATTTACACCTCACTGCCCACTAGCGTTTCGGAAGTGTTAATGCAGACCAACAGAGACAGCGCGCAGAAGTATAAATGGGCGTAACTGCCTGCGCCGTGGGTTAAGCCGGTCACTTGACGCAGAAGTATAAATCAGGCTTAAGTGTTAGCATTTATAGGAATTCTATGCAGTATTGTGTCAAGTAATTAAATTAAATATTCAGAAGAGTATTTTAAGTACATTTTTAATTATGTAAATAGTCATTAACTACTTTTTTAAAGTAAATTACCCAACACTTAACTACAATGGCAAATACTCAGTCAACTTGCTATCGATTGTTCACAGACTGGCTTTTGACAGTTGCTAAGTTGCAGATGACCAGTGGTGGAAAGAGTACACAAAAATCTTACTCTAGTAAAAGTACCACTACTTGCCTAAAAATGTAGTGCAAGTAGAGTAAAAGTATCTGTTGTAAATATTACTCAGAGTATGAGTAAAAAGTAGCCCTTTCTAAAGTACTCAAGAATAGTGAGTATTTCGCTGTATAAAGCTGATGTGTTTACATGTAATTTGTGCATGTGTGTGTAAACATAACATTCTGTAGTGCATTGAGTTATTGTCCAGCAGGCACACAGCATCATAAGACGTTAATATTAGGTTGTGATGTCAGGTGACCAAAATTCAATGGCTAGTCAGCGTATTTTGGTGTCCAATGAAGACGTCAAATGACGTTGATATTTGGTTGATGTTAGGTTGTTAGAAAATGACCAAAATCCAACGTCGCGCCAACATCTTAAACCAACATCATATTGACGTCAAATACTGACATTCATTCATCAGGTACGGCAACCAAAATCCAACGTCTGATAGACGTCATACTGGTAACGTCCACACAACTTCAAGCTGTGACATCATTAGACGTTGATATTTGGTTGGTTTTAGGTTGGACGTTGATGTTGGTCTGATGAAGAGTTCTGACGTCAACCCGATTTTCATTTCCAAACAAAATTCAACATCCCCATGATATTATAGTACAACGTCAATCTGACGTCATGTTGACGTCTTGTCCCTGCTGGGTGTTAAAGGCTATTTTCAGAAAATGAATTGTCTATATTAAAACATTGCTGCTTAATATTTGAAGAACTGACATTACATGAGGGATGTTTTGATGACTATAATTGAATTCATCCTTGCTGAATTCAATTATTAATCTCTTTAAAGTTTTTAAAATCTTACTGAAGCCAAACTTTCGAGTGCTGGTGTTCATACCTCAGTGTGGCAGTAAGTGCAGGGATGCTGCAGAGGAAAGTGAAAAGGATGAGGATGAAGAGGAAGGTGAGGAAGGCTGGCATGTGATTGCAGGACGACACACATCTCCCTTCTTCAGCAAAACCCTGCTCTCCCCATGATATATTCCCAGCCACACAGCTGCAGCCAGAGAACACCTGTAAATGTGTAAACGTGAATCAAAAGGACAAATTCAATTTAGAGTACAACCCATTTATATATATATATGTATATACAGTTGAAGTCAGAATTATTAGCCCCCCTGAATTATTAGTGCCCCTGTTTATTTTTTTCACCAATTTCTGTTTAACAGAGGTAAGATTGTTTCAGCACATTTCTAAGCACAACAGTTTTAATAACTCATTTCTAATAACTGATTTATTTTATCTTTGCCTTGATGACAGTAAATAATATTTTACTAGATATTTTTTGAAACTTCTATACACCTTAAAGTGACATTTAAAGGCTTAACTGGGTTAATAAGGTGAACTAGGCAGGTTAGGGTAATTAGGCTAGCTTAATTATTACTAAGGGTAATAATTAGCTTAACGGGGCTAATAATTTTGCCCCAAAAATGTTTTTTAAAAAATTAATAACTGCCTTCATTGTAGCCGAAATAAAACAAATAAGACTTTCTCTAGAAGAAAAAAATATCATCAGACATACTGTGAAAATTACCTTGCTCTGTTAAAAATCATTTGGGAAACATTCATAAATAAGTAAAGTGTTTGGTCAGGTTAACAACAAGCCATCCTTTGCATGGCACATTGAAATGAATAGGTTTCATAGCACAGAACTTTCCGTGTCCAGTGTGAAATCCCCTTAAGACCATGCAATATATATGGCTGGAGGAAGAGTGAAACACTAAACACTCTTTCGGATGAAAAACTACAATACCATTGACAATCCTATTTTGCACTGTACCAATAAACTTTGAGTGAGATAAACTGAGAAATGTTGCATTTTAGTTAAGCAGATGTTGCCAAAGATTCCTCTGGGAACATGAATTAAAGTTGGAATAAAACAGTAAAACAGCAATATGTTTAAAATAACATTAATATTGTATCATGACACAATTATTGTGACAATATTGTATCAAAAGTCCCACCCATTATTAAAACCAGTGTATAATATCATCCATGTATTAATAACAGCAGGTGTTAACAGGACAGAGAGTTCGTCGTGTACCTGTCTGCCTCTCGGACCGAATGTGTGGTTGAGGGAACTGCAGCCGGCATGACAGGGAGAGAAATACATCACTCCATCTGCACCACACACAGGGTTAAATGACTCCTCTAGACAGTGACATCCAATGTTACAGGCTACGGTCAGGTTGCTCAGATCTGAGAAGCTGAGAGAGAGAAGTGTTTCAGTGTACTTTCTTTTTTATTTCACCTCAGCCAATCAATAAAACACTGTCAGTCAGACTTGTATTTACTCTGGATATTAAGGTAAACCATTAACTGTGTGAAAAATATATCAGACAGCATGTCGGGCTGGATTTAAAAGGGTTTAACAGCTAAATAAAAATACATTTAATGTGTCGATTAGTCAATGTTATAGCATTTTGCGCAATGTGAGTTGTCATCTGTTGTCAATTTAAATGTACTGTACTACATAGCGAATGCCACCATACGTTTATTTATTGTATACATTTTTTATTTTTGATAAGTTTGGAAACTAAAATGTATATTATTCAACAAAAAAAATGTTTTAAATAAATAATAAATGACTTTCCAATGTAAATTACTGTATCTGTTTGTCTCAAAAATGCAATTTTGACACAATGTCTGGAAAATACATTATTATCGTAGAACCAATTTTCTTTTTTGTCTTTTTCCAATAATATTTATTTATAAATAAATAAAAATATTAATACAGTGCATCTGAAAAGTATTCATATTGCTTAAATTTTTACACTTTATTTTATGTAACAGCCTTATTTCAAAATGGATTCAATTAGTTTATTTCCTCAATATTCTACACACAATAACCCATAATGACAATGTAAAAACAAGATTTTTGAAATTGTTGCAAATTTATTAAAATTAAAAAACCTGAAAAATCACCATTAATAAGTATTCACAGCCTTTGCTCAATACTGTGTTGATGCACCTTTGGCAGCAATGACAGCCTCAAGTCTTTTTGAATATGATGCCACAAGCTTGGCACACCTGTCTTTGGGAATTTTTGCCCATTTCTCTTTGCAGTACCTCTCAAGCATTATCAGGTTGGATAGGAAGCAATGGTGTACAGCCATTTTCAGAGATGTTCAAAAGGGTTTAGGTCTGGGCTCAGGCTGGGCCACTTAAGAAGATTCACAGAGCCACTCCATTGATATTTTGTCGGTGTGCTTTGGACCATTGTCCAATTGAAAGATGAACCATCGCCCCAGTCTAAAGCCGCCTTTCCACTGCACACAACATTTGGACACGACTGTCGGAATACACCCCCTTGGGGCAGTCGCACAGTATTTTCAGTGTTGTCGTGCACCATGGGAGTGAAGCTGTTCTCACAGTGTCCGAAATAAAGGAGTGCAAAAGCAAGAACCTTTATTCTCTGTGCGTTTACATGATTTTAATGAAGGAATGAATACTAGAAACTTATAGACCGCTACAAATATTGGAGGGAATGTGGAGACAACATTAAAAATATATATTTTTAATACTGTCTTACTTACATTTATGAACAGATGTTTTTTTTTTTTTAATCTAGACTTTTTATAATTCAAAAAATAACCAAATAAACTCCTATTTCTCATCTCGCGCGCACGGACCTGCTTGTACAACACTGGAATACATCACATCCGGTCGGTCAAGAGCACTCTGAAGCGGGTTTTCATTCAGGTTGTCTCTGTACATTGCTGCATTCATCTTTCCCTCTATCCTGACCAGTCGTTCAGTCCCTGCTGCTGAAAAACATCCCCACAGCATGATGCTGCCACCACCATGCTTCACTGTAGGGATGGTATTAGCCTGGTGATGAGCGGTTTCTGATTTTCTTCAAATGTAATGCCTGGCATTCACTCCAAAGAGTTCAATTTTAGTCTCATCAGACCAAAGAATTTTGTTTCAGTTGCCTTTCGGCAAAGTTCAGGCGCACTGCTATCTGCCCTTAACTAAGGGGTGTCTTCCGTCTGGCCACTCTACCATACAGGCCTGATTGGTGGATTGCTGCACAGATGGTTGTCCTTCTGTAAGGTTCTCCTCTCTCCACAGAAGAAAGCTGGAGCTCAGACAAAGTGATATTCAGGTTATTGATCACCTCCCTGACTAAGGCCCTTCTCCCCTGATCACACAGCTTAGATGGCCGGCCAGCTCTAGGAAAAGTCCTGGTGGTTCCAAACGTCTTACAGATGATGGAGAACACTGGGCACATTGGCACTTTCAGAGCATCAGGAATTTTTCTGTATATTTCCCCAGCCTTGTGCCTCGAGACAATCCTGTCTCAGAGGACTACAGGCAATTCCTTTGTCTTCATGCTTGGTTTGTGCTTTGACATGCACTGTCAACCCTGGGACCTTATATAGACAAGTGTATGCCTTTTCAAATCATGTCCAATCAACTGATTTTCCCGACAGTTAAACTCCAATGAAGCTGCTGAAACCTCTCAAGAATGATCAGTGGAAACAGAATGTACCTGAGCTTCATGGCAAAAGCAAATTTGCAACAATTTCAAAAAATCTTTTTTTCATTGTCATTATGGTGTATTGTGTGTAGAATGTTGAGGAAATAAATGAATTAAATTCTATTTTTGGAATAAGCATGTAACATAAAAAATGTGGAAAAAAAGAAGAGCTATGAATACTTTCCGGATGCACTGTTTATAGCAAATCAATAGTAGTACATTACGTCTGTTAATATGTATAGGTAAAAACTTAAAAATAAATATTACTACATAAAATATGAATAATAAACCAAATAATGCCTTTTTTAGCATTAAAGGAGAAAACAAAAATGTTGAATCATATTATATCCCCTTTAATAAAAATTCACAGTTGACTATAAACAACAGACTGATGTCATACAGCTTGGGATCTTCTGGCATAATAACAAACTAGTCTCGAAATTATATTGTATAATACAATTTAATTTAGTCTAAGTAAAGTCTCCAACTTATATTGTAAGCAGATCTGTACCAAGTTCAGTGTTCATTACCTGCTGTTGTGTTTGTCTTTCTGCAGGTAGAGGGCGCTGTTGTGGTTGTGTGTTACGTTGCTGTAGTATGAGATGGTTACTCCAGCCATAGGCACATTAGGACAGTGCACCAAAAAGATAAAGATAGCCATCAGACTGACCAGTGCACACAGCATGCAGAAACGGATGATCCCACGACAGCGAAGATTCAGCTTCTTTATAATGAAGCCACCCAGAAAGGTGCCACCTCCACCAGCTGGCACTACCATATACCCTGGAATAAGAAGATGGAGTAGCAAACAATTTAGTGTATGTAATGTAGTTGTTCATATGCTAAAGAGCTTTCATAGACAGCTCACCTAAAAATCTCAATCATTTACTCACCCTTCACTTGTTCCAAATTGGTTTAAGTTTTGATGAATGAAATCTATTGACTTTTTAGCATATTTCTTTCCCTACGATGGATGTCAATAACTACTGGTTACTGATATTCTTCAAAATATCTTATTTTGTGTTCAATAATAAAACAGAATCTCATAAAGATTTGAAACCACTTAAAGGAAAGTAAATGGTAAGTAAGTTTGGATTTTTGGGTTGAACTATGACAATATCACGATCTATAAAGAAACATTTTACACCAGTGTTTTAGAAGCAGTGTAAGAAAATTACAGCTAAATGCTAACCACCTGACAGCCAGCTCATTTTTATGGAAAAAGTCTTTAATAATGACAGAAAGTAGGGCTGGGCGATTATGGCAAATAATTTATCATGATAATTTTTTTTCAAATCAGTCGATATCGATAATTATTATAACAATTATTACGATTGTGTTTTTGCCTGTTTTTGATGGCACAAGTCGTCTGGGTAGTTTGCAGGGCACATTGCTCTGTTTTCGGATTGCAAAAAAACTATGTAGCTCCAGACTACTGAAGTTTAGTCATGTTTCTTGTCAACAATGTTTGTGAACTTTTTTTTAACCTATTTTTTTCCTACTCCTCCAAGTGCAACTAACACTGTATGGCTGTAAACTTGTACATGTGGCATCTAGAAGTGCAGGCTGCAAAATGCCTGTGCAGTGTTATGTGTATATACTAGGGATGCAACAATACAGTTAGCCCACGGTTCAATACATACCTCGGTTTTTTAACACGGTTTTCGGTTCGGTTTGGTTCTCATGGCTTGACGTGTTTTTTTTTATTCTATAGGCAATAGGAACAGTAAGATGTTAAGGAGAAAAAAATAAAAACGATTTATTGCAGTTCTCATTTTGTTTTACTTAAAAGCCAAGAAAAGTACAGTATTTCCTAGTGTATTGTATAAAAAATAACACTGAAATCTTACAGCTGCTTGTAGTCCATGTACAAACTGGGGAACACATAAAATCCTACACTTTGAAAATAAACACACATGTGAAGTTAATAAAGATAAATTGGCCATTTCAGATAAACATATTTGTACTTAAGTAAACATAAATAAACCATCGGAATTATCTCGGTGCTGCAAAAATGCGAGACTGTAGTCTGTAACGTGGATTGAGTGCTTTTATAAAATGACAAAAGCCCACATCTCCAATCACCCAAAACGGCAGCAAATCTTTAGCAATAAACACCCGCACTGCCTTTGTTGTTTTTATGTGTCTCTTAGAACCAGTTGGGTATGTTTGCTTGAAAGATTCAGGGAGGGATTGTTTTTATTATGAGGACTTTATTACCTTCTCTGCTATCCTGCCTTCAGACTGTGATATTGCTGGGTGATTGCGCTGCAGATGAGCAGTCATGGTTATACGTGTGAGACAATGCTTGCACACAGTTACTTTTTGTTCACCGTTTTTTCTTTTATTGGCATTATACTAATCAGCAAATCCGAAATGTCCTCACACCACAGATTTGAAAGACGCCGGCTCTTTCTCGTACTGTTGCCTCACTTCGCCGGCGCTTCCTTGTACTGTTGCCTCAGCCTCACTTCACCGCCGCTCGTAATGTCAAAGTGTGGAATGATGGTCAAGCGCCCCCTAACTTTAGAGCATAGTGCTTGGATATTTACTCGCAGGGAGGAGTTTCCTCATCTCAGCTCATGGACTTAAAGGCACACACTGAGTCAATTCGGGGTGATATAAAACGCACAGAAATTATTTAAACGCAAAACCGAGAAAACTGCAATTCACAAGCGCGCACTGAAACGTGGAGGTCGTACCGTACGGTTCAATATTATATTGAGAACCATGCCATCCCTAGTATATACATTATCGAACACTTTTCAAACTGTCATTATCGTTGTTTTTTCTGAGAAATATGTATTGTTATAATTATCGTTATCGAATTATCGCCCAGCCCTAACAGAAAGCGTGACACCTGTATATAAACACAATATGTAATAGGAGAAAGCCAAATCCAACAGCCTTAAGGATTATACTGTATGAAAAATTTGAAATTTTGAGCAGTGTGAAATACAAAGTTAGATATCTCAGCATTTTGTTTAACTGGGGTTAAGAATGTCCCACTGTTGACCGTTTCAGGTGTGAGCAAGAACGTGTCATTGAGATTAATTAACATTTTTACCAAACCAGGTTGCTGCCTCTGAAGCACTCAGACTAAACTGAGACTCAAGAAATTTGGGGCCAAATGTGGACATCCCAGCTATCAGCGTGGCCTCCGTAGCACCAGCAAGACACAGAAAGATGAAGGTAGGGTTCTTTAGTAGAAGCAGCATTGACCTATAGAGAGAAAAGGGGGAAAATACTTCCTATTCAGTTACTACAACTATTGTGGCATATTGATGTGGTATAGAAACACTCTTTGTGTACATAAGCATCAAAACCCAATGCATGTAAAGCTTCGAGGCACCCTGGAGTACTTTTTTGAGATTTTAACAGATTTGTGTGTGTTAAGCATCGGTTAAGACAACGTTAGCACCTGTCAGCTTTATTTGTGGGGAAAACTGGACAATTTAGAGCTTTGGTCAGCTAATTTTTAAAAAATCTTCTGGGTTTAAAATATTTTTTGTGGCAGGATCAAAATAGGTGACGTTCAGTAGCATGAATCTGCTGGTCAAGTGATGCGTCGGTTTCTCATTATTATTCATAGTGGAGTTTTCTTGTCCTATGAGAAGACCCTGCTTCTGAATTATTCATGAGAGCAAGTGCTTACCGAAAATCACCCAGATTACCGACAGGGCTAATGGTTGAAATGGGTAACTGTCAGCGCAAGAGACCTGCTGCACTGATATCCACTGTGTCTGCATTCATACCCAGGGATTCAGGAGGAGAGAAGTCCTCCTCATTTATATAAACACAATTAACTTAATAATAATATAACAAATTGTGTTTACGTGTATATGAATTTATGAAAAACATATATAGCAGGGCATTCAATTACTTTTGATTTCTTTGCATTTTAACTTTGTAAACTATAAAATCATGGGTCTCCTCACGGTTTGTGTCTGAGTATTATTCAGTATTAAATTATAATTAAGTATGCTAGTGCCCATTAAGTGATTCAATAAACCAATTATCTTACAAATCTCAAGTATTTTTCTACAATAAAAACTCTTTTTTAATTTTATTTTTTATATTATGCTTAATATTTTAAATTAAAAAAAGAATATTAAAATATATTTTAGATGGGCCTACAGCAACCTATTATATATGTATGTCAATAAAGTGTTTTCTGGTTCTGGACTATTATGCTGGAATGAAAGTGTAGTTCCTAGCCAAATCATAAAATAGCAATATTTCAACTTTTTTTCAGTTTTTGTACATGCATGGTCTAACTACAGAAGAATCAAGCATTAAATAGGAATATTATCAAAATTCTTTGGTCAATTATGAGTGAGATCCTAATGGTCTAATCTGATTCAATGATCTATGCTAAGCTAATCTAAAAGTGCTCCCCCAGATCTGGAGATCTGCTGAATAAAAAAAAAAAGGTAAACTCAACTTTTTAAATCTAAAGGGAGTTTTTTTTTTAAAGTGGAGTATCCCTTTAATTTGTTTGACCTTGAATAGATCATATACAACAGCGTCCACTGACAGCATTGACCTGTGCTTTTTATAGTTTATTACGGTCGAAAGATTCTCTGTTGTGAAATGGATCGATTGTCTTTGTAACTAAATGAGGTTTGGGTTTGAAAACTGTTAAGAGGAGTGAAAAACAGCTACCCTACTGAAAAACCCCAGCTTAAACCAGCCTAGGCTGGCCATTTCCAGGCTGGTTTACAGCCATTTCCAACCTGGTCTTAGCTGGTCAAACCCTGGTCTAAACCCTGCTAAAACCAGCTTGACCAGCCTAGCCAGGCTGAAAGCCCAGCCAAAACCAGCTATGTGCAGCTTAAACCAGGCTGGTCAAGCTGGTTTTAGCAGGGTTTAGCTGGTCAATTTCCACCTGACCAGCTAAGACCAGGCTGGAAACCAGCCTGGAAATGGCCAAAACCCCTCTAAAACCAGGCTGGTCAACCAGCTAAAACCAGCCAACCAGCCTAGGCTGGTTTAAGCTGGATTTTTCAGCAGGGAAAGAAGGCTTTAATGATATCTTGTGGAAACTTGTGGCTTAATGAAAAACGACAACTCAATAACTTGTACGTGGCAGTTTGATCTGAGGAAAGTGTGAGTAAAAAGTGCTAATATCCTGAATGTTAAAAAAAGAAAAATCGTCTAGGGACCCATCACCCGTCTGAATTCGCTGAAGTTGGCAAACTAGAAAACTACAGTTTCAGCTCCTTCCCATCAACCAAGTGTCTAAATATAAACACGGCAGTGCTGTGCATTTTAACAGACTGCGAAATGCTTTATATACAGTAGGCAATGTAACTGAAAAACCAGCAGGGCAAGCCACTCTTAGCTCACTCTTATCCTCGTTTAGGTCATGTGTTATTACCTGGGCATGTCTTTTACAGTTTTTCCAAATTGAGGATCAGATGCTGTGACCTGACTGCCGTCCTTTAGCTGGTGAGCCTCTGAGACGCGCATAGCCACATACCGCTGAGAGCCTGCCATAGAAAGAAAGTCAAACGGTTATTGACGCTAATGCTATATTGTGCTGCGGTCACTTGACTTCTTTTGATCTGGGCTTGTGGGTAGCACCTGGCAGCTGCCGTGGGTAACCCAGAATAGGCAGAGCGATAAGCAGAGCTGCCGCTCCTCCTGCCAGGAAACCAATCCACCAAGCTCCAACCCACAACGGGTTTTCAGGTGTCAGTTCTGTCCTAAAAGAGAAAGACAAAAAGGTGAAGCTGTGCAGAACTTGGCATATAAATCGAATTGTATATTTTTGTTGCTTCTATGGACGTTTGTCAGATTCAAAAGTAATAAAGTTAACCTAACAGGAGTAACAGCTATTTTTTGTCCATCATTCCATTTAATTTTTCCAAAACGGAAGGTTTTAAAATGTAAACAAAGATGTTTGAAAATGAACACTGACCATAATTAAAGACTTTCAGATTCTTCCTAGTTATTAAGACTAATCTGAAGTAATGTTTGTTACTTCACTCAGAGAGTCATAGCTGTGCTAATAGCATTTCTGAAATCAGTCTAGTTAAAGTAGTTACATTTGAACTGCGGTGATTAACAGAATTAAAATCTGGTTTTCATTAATTTACAAGAGTAAACAGACATGCTTAGGAAAATCATGTGACTTCATTGGTTCAAAATAAATTTTGCTTTTCAGTTTAATTTGCCTAAAATACGTTTAAATAATGTGATTCAAATGAGTGAAAATGTCAAAATTAAATTGTTATACCAATGGTTACTATTTTAGAGTGTTATAAATATCGCTTAAAGTAAAAAAGATGTTTTTAATCTACTTAAAATGCACATTATGATGCTTAAAGTCAAGCAAAAAATGCATGATTGTTGATATATAACTGTCAACCATTTGGGGTCCGTTCTTCGTACGTGGATTACTCAGTTAGCTGGATTTGGATATTGACGATTTGACACGATCCAGGATCGTTTCGTTCTTCAAAGCTGATCTGAGAGTTGTTGTCATAGGAACAGTTCTGCTAGCTCAAACCTGATCGGGAGCAGGTTCAATTCATATAAACAGGATTAGATCGGGTCAGTTCAAGCAAAGATAATAGAGAAAGTATGTACCGAATTATGATATTTTCTTACAGTAGTAGTTATATACACTTGGGAAAATAGTTAAATAATAACATTTTTAACTATATATATATATATATATATATATATATATATATATATATATATATATATATATATATATATATATATATATATATATATATATAAAGTTATAGTTATTAATAAAATAAATAAAGTTATATTAACAAAACTTATGCAATCTGCACCCTCGAAATGAAAGTACAAAGAGAAAATTTATTGATATAAACTTTTTAGATCGCTTTAGTACAATTTGTGTATGATAATAGAAATGCAGAATGTGACTTTAAAAAAAAAAGAAATAATAAATTAATGCAGTCATGAACATGTTTTGACAGTTAATATGCCAGTGATTGATGCTTCACAAAAGTTGCAGACACCTTTACCAATATCAAAATGCTTTTGTAAACATCCATTGTAAACGGTTTACTGCTAATTTGATGTAATTTTGCTCACATGGATAATTGAATATTAATCAGATGATGTCATTACGATGCTGTGCCGTCAGCCAATCGTTGCATTGCTGATCATGAATTCGAGGATCGATAGATCTGTCCTTCACAACACACGCAGCGATCTCAGATCAGTTCATCCAGACATTCTAATCTGATTCGCAAACTTGTTTGAAAAACAAAATTAGCTAGAGATCAGTTATCAAGATTAAAAGATCCAGGATTGACAAAATCATCTTAGATCATTTAAGCGAGGTACGAAGAACAGACCCTTGGTTTTGGCTACAGTGTTTAATCAGTGGACGCCTACATCAAATACATGTTCATAAAAATGGTTATATTTTTGTCAGCAGCCAAATACACTTTATTAGATACACCTTATTATTACTGGGTTGAACCTGTTTTTCGCCTTCAGAACTGCCTTAATACTTTGTGGCATAGATTCAACAAGATACTGAAAATATTTCTGAGAAATTTTGCTCCATATTGACATGACAGCATTATGCAGTTGCTGCAGATTTGTCAGCTGCACCCATGATGCAAATCTCCTGTTCCACAACATCCCACTTGGATTGAGGTGCTCTATTGGATTGAGATCTGGTGACTGTGGAAGCCATTTGAGTACAGTGAACTCATTGTCATGTTCAAGAACATGGCGTGTTATCCTGTTGAAAGTAGCCATCAGAAGATTGGTACACTGTGGTCATAAAGGGATGGACATGGTCAGCAATAATTTAGAGCTGTGAACCTACACTAGTCTCACGGTTCGGTTCGGTTACGATTATCATGCCATCGATTCGGTTCAATTCGATATTTGGGTGCATCACAGTGCCTTGACGGTGCTTTCCATACACAGTTTTATATTTTCTTCACAGTAGCAGTTCTTGTATTAAAATCTATGAATATATTTATATTTATATACTATTTGTAATACAATTTTGTCATTTAATACAAACAGTCAGATATATAAACTGTACCTTTAAACAAAACGAGCATTTAGCAAATAATATAAACAAATATAAATATCCAGCTCACTTTCGGATCCTTGTCTAGTTCTCTTACACCTCTTTGATTGGTCACACCCTCAAAAAAAAAAAACGGTTGCGATTGGCTCTTGCGCGCTGCGCTCTTCACAGATGAGTGACACTGATAAGCGGCAGGCGGCGATCACAGCTGATGTATGATTGACACGGTGGAGAAAACTCTGCAGACACGCGCTCGATTCTGTATGCAAAAGTAACGCTGTAAAACAGCCGAGAAGAGAAGAAAAGCCACGCCAGCAGGTCAAATGGGCCACTGTGTGTGTGTGAGAAAGAGAGAGACAGAGCGAGAGCGAGAGAGAGAGAAATGGAGTAGGCTACTTTCATTCTCTCGATCTCAGTGAAATAGGGGCTATTGTTGTATATGTTAGTGAAATACTGATCCAGCAAACACACACAGTGAAATTGTGCACAGCGTTGTAAATACTTGCGCTCGCCTCCCTCGCAACAGAGCGCATATGAGGTAAATGACGTCAGCACATAACCGGTTATGATTATTACTGAACTGATACCGAATTATCCGCGTCTGCATCGCAGTGCCCCGAAGAAACGATTAATTTTGACATCCCTAGCAACAATACTCAGGTAGGCTGGGGCGTTGATATGGTGCTCAATTGGTACTATGGGCCCAAAATGTGTCAACAACCTGAACCGTTGATGCAAGGCAGGATGGATCCATGCTTTCATGCAGTTGACACCAAAATCTGACGTCTGTGTGAATTGTAGCCTCAGTTTCAACTACCACTTTCAAAGTCTCTTAAACCATCTTTCTTCTCCATTCTGATGCTTGGTTTGAACTGCAGCAAATCATCTTGACCATGTCTACATGTCTAAATGCTGCCACATGATTGGCTTTTTTTGCGATGTACAAATCTCAATAGCACAAAAATGAATACAGTGTATGACTGGTTTTGTGATCCAGGTTCACGCACTGTATGACTACTTAATGACAAGGATCAGACATTTTCAGTCAGACTATAATGTCAATGTTTAAGAATATGCAGATGAACTGTTGACACTAGTGAAAACCTTTGTCGTTCATTCAGAAATGAAAACCCTGTCATTGCATATATGCGCAATATCACACGAGTAGCAGTGTGCTATGGCTGTATATCAGCACTGGTGGGAGGCGTGCGTTAGCGCCCCACCAGTGCTGATATACAGCCATAGTACACTGCTACGAGTGTGATATTACGTTTATACAACAGTTTAATGGCACAATCTTGTACATAAAAAAAGAAAATCAAACACAGGGAGTCTAAAACTTTTTTGTATTAGGAACTACTTTCTTACGCAATTCATTCACATCTGCAGCTGACATCAAAACAGCAGAAGCCATTACTAATTCACCACCGTCACTTTAGAGCTAGTGTTTGATAGACTTTGTCTAAAGTGATGACAAAACTGCTGATTTTGCTTACACTTTAAGATTATAAGACTGAACGTGACATGAAATGCCATCCATCTACAGAGATATCTTCTTACAGTGTTACAGTCTACAGTATTTCTCTGTTGCAATCGGGATTTCGCAATAATTAACCCCGAAAATAACAACAAATCCACTAACGTTACCAGACTGCTGTTGTGTTTGCGCTAAGGAAAATTGCTAAACAGGTGCGGACTTTGCTTATTTCAATCTACCAACACAACACACCTTCCTGATATGCAAGCAAATCTGTATAAATACAGCACAATAACATACAAAAAGAGATATCATCTAACCTGCCAACATATCTCTGAAAACCTGGGATAACGGGGAGGAGAGGGTGTACGGGGGTGAGGTTGAGAACAGGATGCAGTGGGTTTTGGGCGACTGCTTAGATCGGATTCTGTACCAAAGTTGGCAACCCTATATATATAGGATTTTCCCATAGGGTTTTCGAAGATTGCGAATAATACGCTCTGTGTTCAAACACTGTTCATTACACTTACACGTTTTGTTCAGCCGGATAATTGTCACACGAAAATACAACATTGAGCACTTTTGGATCTTAAATGCAAACGCAAGACTTGAAAAGCTAACATTAGGCTATAAACGGACTACAATGCCCTCGGGGCACTCTTCAGTGACGTCAGCCCCACCCTGCGACTTATCGAGCTTATTTTTAGAAATAACGTCCATGACAAAAAGTTAATCTCTCTGTTTATTATATTGTAATCCACGGTATATATTATAAACTAATAAATAAGCAAACACACATAGACCTTTGTGCCTTTTGGATCGTTTTTACGTGGGAAATACATCTGTTTTGCTTTGCGGTTGTTCTAAAAGTTTTAAAAATGTGTATAAATGTGCCTATATAGTATTATTATGAGACATATTTAAATAAGTGTATCGCTCGCGTGCACACAGCCCGCTTACCTTAAACAGACGACAGAAATTAGGCGTGAGGAGGAACAAGTCTATCAAATGCCTGCAAGTTTCATCATCATGGACACAGAACAACATTCAATATTCCTTTTGTGTCACGAAGTACAGCGAAAAACAGCCCATAAAGTCACATCTGCTATACGTTTTATGGAGGAGTGTAAATACTGCAGTTAAATGTGTTCAGATGAAGAAAAAAAGACGAGAAATCACTTGATCACGTGAAAATGACAGTTAATATGTCTGTATTTTTACACATTTATTCACACGTTTGCATTACTGAGAGCAGGAAAGAAACAGGCTGCACTGAGCAGTATCTTCATAATATCGTTTAATTAAAATAAATGATCAACAAATTAGTCTGTCTCGACAGCCTTTACATGTGAAGGAATTATCTACACACAATCTGAATTCTCAATTAGAATAATACTACAAACTATAAAATACTATTCATGAAAATACTTAAAATCACAGACAAATCCAAACGCCTAACACAAGCGAGCTGCGCTCCAGACCAGATCAGCTCGAAGACGTTTAATGTCCCCGACGCCGCCTGTAGTCTCATTTAGCAACTTGACAGCAACCGTCTTTTTAAAGAAGCATAATCGATTTAAAAGTTTAAGAGTGAGCTGTAACTGATGTGTTTTATGTCGTAGAACAAAACGTGAAGGTATATTGAGTTGGTGCACTGAAAAAAGTGTTACATGCAGAACTGTTGCAAACTATTTATTTGTGTTGAATTTAAACAATCAAATTAAATTGAATAATGTTTAACTTAATGTGTTTGTTTAAATTCAACACAATTAAATTGTTTACAACCACTTAACATAATAAAATTGAGTAAATCCAAGGAATCATCTTTGAATAATTTTTTTCAGTGTGTCAGCCACGGACCTTATTTAAGCGATTTTACTGAAACCCTATTCAAAAAACCCATTGACTTTGGGACGAGGGAACCGGAAGTGCTAAAATGCTAACAAATTGACGTCATAGTTCCTCCACTCTATTATGCGGTTCTGTTGCCATCTTGTGGATTGAAAATGTCAACTGTCGCCAACGAGCTGTCTCTCAGAAATTGTAAATATTTTAAAATAGGCACTATTCTTGCAAATAAACTGCATAGTTGCAATCTAAACAACTACATTCTCGACTAAAAAAGCCTCAAAAGTATATTTGGTTGTCTAACAGCAGTAATATTTGTCAAACTGTAGTGTCTGCTTGTAGCTGGCTGTATGTGGGCAGAGTAATGCACAAAGGTTAAAGAGGCTGTACGGATGCTGATATTACTTCAATATATCATGGCTATCAGCCAATCAGATTCGAGATCCAGACAGAACTGTTGTATAAATCAGGGGTTCTCAACTGGTTTGGCCATGGGACCCACATTTTTACATGGTCATCAAGCTGCATCAAGTAGTGACAGATACATCATAAAAAATTCACCAAGACTTACAAATAAACAGTATTTTATTGCTGTAATTTAACAAAATGGATCAAATTATAGAAATATTACAAAGTAAAAACGACAAATACTGTTAATAATAAACTGTTAATAAAACATGTTTTCTGGTTTCTAAATGTGGTTTTAATTTAGAAGTTTTCATGCTCTCTTATGAGAGCACCTCACTACATATGACACTGAGGCTTTAATTTTTTTTTTGTCGTCAATAGATAAATCCATACTTTACATATTCGGGGTTGTACTTGCACTTCGACATTTGTTGCAATAATTAAATTAAATTTAAAATGTCAAACAGTACGGTTGTCGTGCAAACATTTCAAAATAAAAGTCCGGTATAAGCAAAATAACTAAAAAAAATAAACTTTTGTTGTTTTTTTGACCACACACTCCGCGACCCACTAAAATGTTTCCACAACCCAACCCACCAGTTGAGAATCACTGGTATAAATAATACTGAAAACTGAGTGTGAAACAGGTGACTATAGGTTAATGTGCTTCAATTTAAAAATAATAATAATGCTACTAGTATACCCGTGTTAGCTTGCTAAAGTGTACATTTTCAGACTTATTAGATTGCCTTACGTTTGGCCAATCTCAGTGTAAATGTTGAGAAAGAATCCACCCAGCAGGTATCCGGCCGCAGGTCCTACGATGGCGGCTGTGTAGAAGATCCCTGAGAAAACAGAAGTCACATCTCTGAGTCACAGAAAAGTTTTCTATCAAAAGACGTAGTGAGACGCAGTTTGATTTTCTGAGTGCCTATGTCTGGAAAGGGAGCAAGCAGGGCAATGATTGTCCTCAATGGCCTTTGAAAAAACTGGATGGTGGAGAGACAAACAATGGAAGGAGGTTTTATTGATGTCTGAGGTGGAAGCTAGTGGCGCTCGCTGATAACGACAAAAGAAAAATGACTAGGCGTGTCAAAGCCCGAATGGGACAAAATGGAGGGGTTTAGTGAGGATAAATATCAATTCTTGTGTAATCTGTCTTATATGCTACGAGAAAGCACTCAAGTAGTTTTTCTTTATATCAATATGAGTGCTTCAGTACTATTAAGATCAGCTACAAAGTCACAAACACACGCTTTGATAAAAATCATGTCCAGTCAAGAAAAGACGAGCCAACATCAGTGCCCTAATATAATGGCATTTGTTTTATCATATGAATTCAGTGAGTTTGTGAATTCGTCCTTAATACTGCATTAATTTTCAATGGCAAATCAATAAATTAACATTTAAAATAGAACTTATTATAAACTATAATAAGTAAAATAAAATTATAATGGATTAAGTTACAATACTACAATAATCATTATTAATTATAATTATAAGTATCACTGTGTAATTATAGGTGTAAATTATGTATATATTATAATATGCATATATATTATGATCGTTGCTACCAAAACAAATTTTTCTTCATGTTTTTTTTATTTAATTAATTGTACAGCCCTTGTTTTGAAATGCAGAATGGATTTAATCAATTTTAAAGGCTACAAAAATGTATTTAGGCATCATATAATTTAATGTAGAGCATGAAATTCAATTTATATTCAGTTCTAAAAATGTTATACTTGTTAGTGAATTATAACATAAACTGATTTTATTTAAAATGATGGTATATTGCTCTGTTATTGCGTTTTATGTGAATAATTCGAATGCTGCCATCCACACCTTGGTGTAATAAACAAAACAAAAACAAGTCTTTACAGAACTCTGATACAGTTTGACTAACACATGAAAGTCAAGAAACAAAGGCATCTAAAAGAGATAAAAAACAAGACATGTATTCAATAAAGGATCATAAAAAGAACAGAATGCATTTACATTTATTCATTTACTGTAGCTGATGCTTCTCTGCTTTTTACGACATGCAAATGATGGTAAAAGCTCTTCAAATCACCAGAGAGCAGCGATATATAGATGCCATGACAAAGCTCAGTTATTTTAGCTTTTTTGTTTTGGTCAAGCTTGGTTTTTCTTTTCATATGAGCTATGTTGCCCATTATAGTTCAGTTTAGGGATTGCAAATGCTGTTTACTTGAAGCAAATCTTTATGGAATCATTTAGGAGTGCATTTGTGGTAAAAGCTCATTTTTTTTATTTTGTAGGTTTTATATTAAAAAAACACACAGAAACTCTAAATCAGGGGTGCTCAATCCTGTTTCTGGAGATCTACCTTCCTGCAAAGTTCAGATCCAACCCTGCTCAAACACACCTGAGCCAATTAATTAGGACCTGAACAGCACTTGATAATTACAGGCAGGTGTGTTTGATATGGGTTGCAACTGAAATCTGCAGGAAGGTAGATCTCCAGGAACAGGGTTGGTCACCCCTGCTCTAAATGAACCAAGACTTAGGGCTCTATTTTGACGATCAATGCGCAAAGTGCAAAGCGCAGGGCGCAAACGCATTAAGGGCGTGTCAGAATCCACTTTTGCTAATATAAGGATGAAAATATCCGATTTGTGCCGTGGCGCATGGTCTAAAAGAGTTGAGCTTATTTTCCTAATTAGTTATAAGTGTGTTTTAAGAATAAACCAATCAGAGTTTCATCTCCCATTCCCTTTAAGAGCCAGTTACCTCGTGCCATAGCACATTTGCTATTAACCAGATGTAAAGTAAGTGGAAGTGGAAAAACTGAGCGTTTCACTAGCAAGAAAACAGTTAAACAGAGCATCTACAGCGTGAGAATGAGAGATTAGCCTCCATTATCTCCTTTCACTTTCGCTGTCATGGCTAGGGAAACCCTGTACACACAGACTAGCCTATAAATAATTATTTTGTTTGTTAAGCGCAAATATTTGATTGAAAACTATTTCTAAATACAGTTCTAATTTCCAGCAAATGAATAAATGAACAATAATAACAAAGTGTGTTCAAAAACCTAAAACACATGCTGTGCCCCATAAGGTCTAAAACCTGACAGGTGGACAAATCTAAGCTTGTTTTTAATAAAACAAATATAAATACGCATATAAAAAATAATACTGCTAATAATACTAATAAATTATATGTTTTGTAATATTTTAATCCTTTATATTTATGTCCTATATATACCCTTAATATATTTATTCTTTTTCCTATGTAAAGATATTTGCATATTGCTCTACATTTGTGTGTATTAAGCAGTGTGTAAGCGAGGCGCACAACTAACCCGCTCTGCGCTAGACTTTAGACCGGCTTTGTTCTGGTCTATTGAAAAATCTATGACAGTTTCTCAAAATAGCAACGCGCCAGCAATACACCTCAACACGCCTTCCTTTTTAGACCAGAACGCCTATGGGCGCACATATGAGCGCAACTGCATTTGCTATTTAAACAGCGTGGCGCAAAACGTCAAAGCGACTCTTGCGCTGAGCTGAAACTAGCAAACAATAATTGCATTGCGCCTTGCGCCACATTGCGCCAGGTGTATGATAGGACCCTTAATGTAAAAAAATATGCTGTAAAAAAACTATTAAATTCATCAGTCATCTTTCAGTAAATGTTTTGATGTTGAGACGCCACACTCACCTATATATACTGGTGCGTAGTTTGACTTGACGTTCTCATCAAGGTATGTGACCCCAAGGGTGTATAGTGGGGTTGCCCCAACACCATGAAGAAACTGTCCCAGCATAAACACATAGCGGTATGCCGAGAGCCCGCCTTCCTCGCCAACGCACGTCTCTGTGTGATTTTCTGAGCACAGTCCCATGCGCTCTGGAACTCTCACCTGATAGGCTGGTGTGGTGAAATGGGGCAGGGCAAAGACCAGAGAGCCCAGAGCCATGACGAGCACACCCCAACCCAGCCATCGAGGTTTATGACCAGTACCACCAAAGTAGCTCACAAATGTCAGGCACAAACAAGCAGCAATGTCATAGGAGCTTGCAATCAGTCCTGCCTGCAACAGACATGAGAAAAAGTCAACAAAATGGTGAGATGTACACAAGCTTTAGTTTAGAGAGTTAGAGTTTATATTTAAATGCGATCGGTTCTATACTGTATGAGATTAAGACTGAAGTGTAGTGAAAAATATCCATATTTTCATTCAGTTTTAACAGTATGCATCCATTGTAATATGCAGGATGGTTTATGAGCTTTTCTGATTATGCAGTTTTGCGTTTATGAGCTTGCCTTATCATTAAAAAAGTATATACTGCGCAGTTTTTCTGTTTTTATTAGCATTTTTTTGTTAATACTTTTATTCTACAAGAATGTTTTATACTGAACAAAGGTTATTATTAAGATTTATTGACACAAAATATTTCTATTTGAAAAAAAAAATGCTGTTATCTCCCCCTTCTGACATTCGGTTAACAGATATTATATCATTCCTCTCTACTGATACATTTTATAAACCTTTGACTCTTTGGTTCGGTTTACACTGCCAGTTAAATGTGACCCATATCTATGGGATGAATTTAGTATCAATATTATTTGCAAACTGTCATCCACGTGCTCTGTTGATGTTGTATCTGCAGTTTTACATCCACAAACGAATGGCTTTCCAACTGAGTGTGAATTGAAGATTTGCGCAAACATAAACATGTTCGTGAAAACAAATATTATGTTTTGCATTCATGCATCTTAATTTACGTGTGCGGAAAGGAAGTTTTGCATTTACGGATCAGGTGATGTTCGTGTGTGAATTAAGTTTTTGTTTGATCTATGCTGCCAGCTTCGTTTTAATTTTGAGACTTTCTTTTTCGCGGTTTTGAGGCCTTTCAGGAATCAAACACAAACTATTTTAGACGGAAAAGACACAACATTCCTATGCAAGGTATTCACATCAACCTACCGATCTGAGAAATATACAATCCTGCATTACCACACTTGTGCCTGAAAAAGTCTGATTTAAATAAATGTCCAGCATTTTGTAAAAACATACTGTGTTGTATTATTCTGGCAATAACTTGTTTTATTGTCAGGGATGGGAAACAATACATTGAAATGTATTTTTAAATAAAATTCCATTCATTCATTTTCTTTTCGGCTTAGTCCCTTTATTAATCTGGGGTTGCCACAGTGGAATGAACCGCCAACTTATCCAGCATATGTTTTACACAGAAGATGCCCTACCAGCTGTAATATTGATACTAAATTCATCCCATACAATTCCAATTTTTTGCTCATATGTGACACAGATCGGATCTGTTCTATGACCATGTAAACACGAAAAAAACGCATGCATTCGGATATTCAGAGATCAGTTTCAGGCCTCCTTCATATGTGGAAATAAATCAGATACAGATCGGATGTGTGACAATGCGACTGTCATGTAAACAGGCAGATCAGATTAATTGAGGCATTCCTTTCTGTACATCATTAAATTTGCAACAATGTAGAGCTTCTCCGCGGTTTAAAGACAGAAGGAAGAGCGTGTGTGGAGACGCAGACGTGGTAAACAACATCAGAGGAAACACAGAGGAGGAAAGTGGTCAGTCGCCACAATTTGCTCCCACCAGACCTGAGATCTATCTCGTACCCACAAATTCCTCTGATTGGTGGAGGACATCATAAAGCATATAAACCATAAGCGCAAGCTGCGATGACGGCCCTTTCCCACCTCCGCCATAAAATCATTTTAAAGTTGGGCGAACTTCGTGTTGTAACTTTTGCTTTTTATCACTATTAATACATGCACTGCAGGCTACACATAGAATCTATTCTCTACTACACACACACATCAGGGCCATACCATTACATGAACTGCGTGGCGGTAAATCTAAACTAAACCATTCACTGCTTATACTACACTTCGCATATTTCGCAGAGCTAAAAACAAGACAATTTCTTCCATCGTGGCTAGTGTGGCACAGATGCTAGAACCCGATTTTATGCATAAGCGACATCGTAAATTGTATGGCAAGTGTAAACGCATGAATTGGATATGGGTCACAATTAAAACAACGTGTAAACAGACAGACAAACAAATCAGATATAGGCAACAAATCAAAATTAGGCATCAAGACCTGACAGTGTAAACGGGGCCTTTGACTTCTTGACCTCATTAGTTTCCTATTTGAGTTTATCAGTGGTCAGGTTTCCTGCGTAAAAGAATAAGCCTGTCTGTGTTTTTATATGTATATGAGTAGGCACTGGACCATCAGAACAGGGCTCATTAATATTCATGACCATTCCAAATAGGGTCAAAACTGCGCTTTGCTTTCCAGAGATAACTACTCTTCTTATAAATGTAAATTTAAGTTTCTGGATAATTTTTGAACCACATACAGTACCACATACCTACTACTGTATGTAGATATCAGAAAAACAATTCAACACAACTGAATCAATGCACCCTATAGCCATACCTGTCAGCATTGGTATGTGAAAATAAGGGATATGTCCATTATAAAAAGGGATTCCCCCGACCCCCGAAATTCCGATTTCCCTGAAAAATATGCTCATTTGGAGCTGTTTCATTGTAAATAAACACTTAAATGGTCAGTAATGTTTCATAATTATTATTATTTATAAAATAAAAAATAAGTAGTATACATCAGCAACAAATAAATTAGCAAACAGTTCAGCTTATTAAAATGAATAGCTGTTATAATGAAATAGAATCAAATCTCTTTAGCCGTTTCTTCACTGTATAACGTACACATTCTGATTAAAGATCAATGAATGAATGATTTAGTTAGATTTTTTTTTCGTTTGATTACATTAAATAACAGGTCTCACTACATTTACAATTGAAATGAAAGCATTCGACTGCTTTACTAACTGTTTATGCTCATTTAGGAAGAAATTACTTGTGTTTGAAAAAAATAAAAAAAAACTCACCAAGATCAACATCTTTACATATTAATATTATTATTTATGTGTATGTCTGTTTAAACACGCACCCAAAACCCAGACTTTGAATCCGTTTGGGAAACAGCGCCTGTTTATCAATATGGAGCGCGTCAGCTGACAGTCATGCACCTCTATATGACTGTTTTGAGCATTGCATATGAAGGGAAGATGACACTTGAAATGAAAAAGTAGGGAATCGCGCCGTTTTTATGTTTATTTCAAAGTGTTTTCGTGCCTAAACAAAGCAAAAGCACAGAACAGACTCACATTTAAGAGCAAGGGGCGGCCCCTAGTGGTTTCGGCGGTATGGGTTGCGTATAGGGAGGCTCGACTCTTTAATGTTTATTTGCCACCCTTCAGAGAAAGACTGAAAATACGGGAGGAATACAGGAAAATACCTGTACGGGATCATAGCAGGATAGAACTGTAAAATACGGGAGAATCCCAGGAAAAATGGGGGCGTTGACAGGTATGCCTATAGCACCATAATGGTAGGCGTTTATTCATACTTAAAAAAAAAAAAAAATGTCCTTACTTACCTTACAATTTTACAATTTATTCTTACCGTACAATTTTACAATTTATTCTTACCGTACAATTTTACAATTTATTCTTACCGTACAATTTTACAATTTATTCTTACCGTACAATTTTTACAATTTATTCTTACCGTATAATTTTGAATAAAGGTGTTTGCATGAATTTCAATGAATTATTCAGTGTTTTTGTGCAATGTAACATTGTTTTTTTTTCCTTAACAAATTAAATACATAAAAACAGTGGTTCATTTGAATGTTTTTAGACTTTGTTTAACAGACCTGGTAGCTGCGCAGGTCAAAACGTCTTTCGATTGAGGTGATGACGGTGTTGATGAAGCCGTTGATGATCATGCCCTGGAGGAAGGAGGCCACACAGAGGAAGAACAGAACCCATCGTGGGGTGTTGAATGTTTGGATACACCGCGGGGTCAGTGCTCCCCATCCACACAGATTCTCAGAGTCTGTTGGGACAAACTTCAACCCATTTGGGGGATCTGTGAGCTCCAATCCTAATTTGCCTGTATTGTGGAGTGGAGTGTGGGCATCTCCAGACGGGCTGCCTGAACCAGAGCCCTGGGACTCCACAGGACTGGGAGTGTCTGGACTGGGTCCCAATGGGCTGTTATGTAGGACCAGAAGCTCTTGCTTGGAGCTGAAGGAAGTGTCATTGTTCAACAGGTGGGGCATGGCCCCAACAGGGGCGCTGGGACAGAATTGATGAAGGATAAGAAAACAAAACTTTTCCACTAGAAATTCTGATTATTATTAATTTCTTGCTGGATGATGTGTTGACAGCCTCTGGGTGAGGAGAACTCTTTGGGGTTTCTTTGAGTTTAAACTGAAGTCATACAGATCTTGGAAAGCTTAATTCTGCAAAGAACAGAGAGCAAAATACAAAGTTGCAACATCAGTAAATTCACAGTATATTTTTGATTTATTAAAGTCGGCATGAAACAGAAATTGCAATAGACTTTTATTCCCTATTGTGATGCCTAGCTGTCTTTGTAACAAGAAAAAAAAATGTGGCGTGGGGATTGAATTTGTCCATTGGGAATTCATTGAATGGTTGTAATTTGATAGCTGTCCATTTGATGCGAGTAAAACCTTGCTCCTATCTCTCAAGGATTCCTGAATCAATTAGATTTCTTTAAGAGACACTAGCTTTATCATGCTCTTTGATCATTAAAACATTACACATCTTTGCACACCAGCTACAATACAGTTGAAGTCAGAATTATTAGCCCCCTTTTGATTTTTTTTCTTTTTTAAATATTTCCCAAATGATGTTTCACAGAGCAAGGAAATTTTCACAGTATGTCTGATAATATTTTTTCTTCTAGAAGAAGTCTTATTTGTTTTTTTCCGACTAGAATAAAAGCAGTTTTGAATTTTTTAAAAACTATTTTTGGGACAAAATTATTAGCCCCTTTAAGCTAATTCTTTTTTCGATTGTCTACAGAACAAACCATCATTATAGAATAACTTGCCTAATTCCCCTAACCTGCCTAGTTCAATTTATTAACCTAGTTAAACCTTTAAATGTCACTTTAAGCTGTATAGAAGTGTCTTGAAAAATATCAAGTAAAAATATTATTTACTGTCATCATGGCAAAGATAAAATAAATCAGTTATTAGAAATAGTTTTTTAAAACTATTATGCTTAGAAATGTGCTGAAACAATCTTCCCTCCATTAAACAGAAATTGGGGAAAAAAATAAACAGGGGCGCTAATAATTCGGGGGGGTGGGGGGGGGGGGGGTCAACTATAATAAGGGGCTAATAATTCTGACTTCAACTGTACAGGCTGTATGGAAAGCTAATATTCAAGAAGGAAAGACAATACAGTTTTGTTCAAGAATCATTTAAAATAACAGCACTTATTATTAAAAATTGTCCATTGTTTCAAAAGCAAATCTCATAAGCTCCAAAAGCAAATTCAAATGGCATACAATCAAATAATCTTTATTTTGTCCAGTGAAGTCAAGCGTGATATCCAAAGACCCTAATGAACTATAATAAGGGATTAGTTCTGCATGCAATCCATGCTTCCTGACACAACAGTCAGTTGGCTTGCCAGACTCACACTGTTTATTCTAATTACACGTAATGACCTCCAGTGACCCACAGGACTGTTAAAAGATTTTGAATATTCAAAATTACATCTCAAATTACCTTCCACACACACTTAAGTTCTTCAAGTACAGTGGTTAAAACAATGATAAGTTCATTTGTTACACTAGCAGGCTGAACTAAGACTTTTACCCAGTTTTTTTTTGGAAGTCTGAGCTGAGATGAGTAGTTATTTTTTATTTATTCTTAATTGCAAATGAGTGGCCTGTTCATTGTGAAAATACATCAAATGTTGTTATGCATTTGAGCTGTAAAAATGCTGGGGAACAGCCATTGGTATGAATAGCCTCAAGTACCACTGCGATTCAGGTGTCCCGAGATAAACTTCCCACAGAACTTTCTCGATTCACCCCAATACCCAATATCTTCAACCCCTACCCCTACCCCATATTGTAAATGACAAAAAATAAAGGCAAAAAAAAAAAAAAAACAAGAAAAATTAGTATTTAAAAAAAAGAGGGAGCAGCCAGTTGATGGTAAAATGAAAACTAAAGATTAAAGAGCCCCTATTATGGGTTTACAAAACTGACCTTCCATGTACTGTATAACACAGCTCTAAGTGAAGTGAAATACTGCGGTATCCGCTTGTTAAGTGGTGACGTTTTGGTGACATACTGTATGTAATATTGTTTCCGTGTCCAAGCCGCCACTCATTTGAGTCGAGAAATTATTCACATTTAATTCATTTCACACATTAAAGTAAATTTAATATAAAGTCAAAGTGTACACAACGATCTCTGGGCTTGCTGCATAACAAATACCAACATTTTAACAATTGAAAAAAAATTTACCACTTTCTGGCCATCATATATAAGGCATGCCTGAATATTGCGATCGTGATTTTCGAAAGTATTAAATCGCTTTGTAAATGTTTATATGTGTCCCTATACAGTTAAATAGAGCGTTTGGACCCGGAAGCCGCTTTGCGAGACGTCACACTTAACAAGCGGATACCTTGAAAATGGTTATTGTCCCATGGCTCCTGTCATTAGCAGCAGGTTAGTGCAGACACTCCACTGAAAATACTGGGCTTAAATTTATTTCCACATAATAAAGACATGGCGCAGAAAAAATATATAATTTTAATGCATTTTACATTGCATCTCAGCCAGGCAGTGAAGAAGATGTTTTTTAAAGAATTCAGATCTTAAACGCAGCGATTCTGTACGAAATGACAATTAATCGGAAGCCCTGGGGGTGGCTGACTAAAATTAAAAGTCCACGTGCATATACCCCAGAAATACAGTCTAAATGTGACAGTTACTTAAAATTGGAGACAGATTGATTTACAGTTTTTTTTTACAACGGCTATGACAGTTTTTTCAATACATTTTACAAGTTTTCTAAACTCTTAACACGGTTAGCACAATATCCGTCTTTGTAGGCTATACAATTAACACATTTCTTGTTGCTTTGACACAAAATGCATCCAGTTAACACCAATTTAAATGGCTTGAGCTTCTTTTACACACAAACTCAACCAAGACCAACCAGAACAGATAACATCATGATCTATTCTAAACAGAACTTACAGGCTTAAGTCAAAGTGACACACACACACACACACACACATGCATGCACACACGCACACCTATCACAGTTGATTCCCATATAGAAAGCACACTCATGTGTCGAGGTTTTTCCAATCACATGAAAGGAATAGTGAGCAAGCGAATCAAAGAACTCCGTCACCAATATATTCAGGTAAGGTTATGCAATACAGTCATTACTATACTATACACAGTATGTTTTGCAGTAAACTACTCTATAAACCTGGAGTGCATTAGTACATACAGTAGATATACAGTACAGTACAGAATGTGCATACATTGTGTCTAATTACTTTTAGAGTCATGGAGTTGGAGGCCAATCAGGTCCCACATGAAATGATCTGTGTTGACGAAGCTGGCTTCAACTCTGCAAAAAGATGTTGCCAAGGGAGAATAATAGGTCAAAGGGCCACCGTTATTGCGCCAGGCCAGAGAAGATATCAGGTGTGATGTGGATAAGAACATGTGGCCAAAAGCAGAAGATTACAGTTTTTCTTGATTGCTTTGATGCAGCCGTCAATTGAAACTCCACATTTTGAGAACAGTTGACACGCAGGCCTAAACAGCGGCACTCATGGTCAAAATGACACATTTTGCTTGCAAAACGCACCTACTGCGTCAAAACATTTAAATTACGCAACAAAAGCTAGTTTTACCTTCAAACAACACAACTTGCAAACAAGTACACTGTATATGAGCTTTCAATTAATCATTACACAATGTACAACAAAATACAGAACTCAGTGTGAATCAGTGCACCATTGCTTGCCATTGTAGCCTATTGCCAATGCCGTTTGTTGTCTTTCTATTTGGGCTGTCAAATTTGCCTTTTTGCAAAGAATTGGATCCAGAATAAGAAATGCTTTGATTAAATTTATATTGAATTCATGACATACTACAAACTGCTGCTGATAACAGCAACAGACAAAAGTAATAAAATACTGTAAATATTAGAGAAAACACATGTAAACCAATATACAGTCAAATCTATAGGGAGTATAGGCCACTTTTGACCTCCTCCATCCATGCTGGCACAGAACAACACAGACCTTCCACCGTTTTTAGGTTTGCAGACTGATTGCTTATTGAAGATTTGTGTGAAGGAGTGTTAAACCTGTGCTTCAGTAAATTCATACTGATCTTGGTGGTTTCTAATGGTTAGGAATAGATGGTTTCTGTTTAGTTACATCCACGTCAACTGTTTTGAAAAATAGTGGGGAAAATGTGTCAACCCAACGAGAAAGGCTTTAAACATTTGCAAGACCGGTCTGGGATAGTGATTATGAAAATGAAGTGGAACCAAGTTTATTTAACCAGGTCAAAGCAAACAAGAAAAACTGTAATTTGTTTTCATTCATTCATTTTCTTGTCGGCTTAGTCCCTTTATTAATCCGGGGTCGCCACAGCGGAATGAACCACCAACTTATTCAGCAAGTTTTTCCGCAGCAGATGCCCTGCCAGCCGCAACCCATCTCTGGGAAACATCCACAGACACATTCACACACACACTCATTCACTACGGACAATTTAGCCTACCCAATTCACCTGTACCGCATGTCTTTGGACTGTGGGGGAAACCGGAGCACCCGGAGGAAACCCACGCGAATGCAGGGAGAACATGCAAACTCCACACAGAAACGCCAACTGAGCCGAGGTTCGAACTAGCGACCTTCTTGCTGTGAGGCGACAGCACTACCTACTGCGCCACTGGCTCGCCTGTAATTTGTTTATTTATTTTTCTTTTTTTTTATATTACAATTATTTTCTGTTTGTATTTCTTGCAGTATTGTCCTTTTTCAAGTAAAGTCTTCACTGCAGCAATTCTGTACTATTATTTTTACATTTAATAAAGCTACTCTGAGATGGTCGTTCATATTTTTGTACTGAATTTCTGCAGCAAAAGAAACAAAATGCATGAATTTACAAAACCCAACAACACAAAACTGTAGAGAGGCTTCAAAATCAGGGCAGACCTGACACATAAAATAAAGCAGTTTCTGTAATTTTAGCTGATTATGGTGTTTTATTGTCAATGTGTTCTGATTGACTAAATGTTCCTGTAGGATGAGAACATGTGTTAGTGTTTTGAATAGTGATTTGATTTTGAAACATGTTTGCAGTGTTTTGTTAGACATGGTGAATTTTGTTAGTTTATAATTGTGTTTTAACCATTAGTGTAGGAGTTCAGTTTCCAATGTGTGATTTTGAGCATGAAATAAGCATTAAACTGTGTGTTTTAGGTGTGTTGCTGCGATAAGAGTTTAACAAACTTGTTAAATGTATTGAAAAAAACTGTCATAGCCATTGTTAAAAACTGTAAGAGTTGAAAAGAAATGCAAATAAATTTGAATAATAAATAACATGCTTGAAAAGGCTGACACGCATTTAACCTTCAACCATTCACCTAATTCTGTCCTTGGAATCCTCCACAGGTGAGTGGGTTTGACAAACCACGTGTAGAAAACACATTTTTTGACACTTGCACCAGTTTTTTAAACATTTGCCAGATCAGCCTGATCTCACTAAAAAACTTAAGTATTTTACGTTTTGCCAGTTTAGTGCCTAATTCGTACAAATACGTACGAGTTCAGTCGTACTAAATTGTACGATTTTAAAAAGGAGGCGTGGCACCTAACCCCACCCTTAAACCCAACCGTCATTGGGGCATGAGCAAATCATACTAAATTATACAAATTAGATTGTACGAATTCATACGAATTAGCCACTAAAACAAAAAGTTACGAATTGCCGTGAGATTGTGTTGGCCAGACACATTCTTACAATCACTCCATATTTAAAAATAAATGCATTTAAGAAGTGTGCCTCACATAGATGAGTGGGCTTGACAAACCACCTTTCCCTTTTTCTCTTTTTCCACAAACACAAACAGTTCCTTTGTATAAATAGCACTTTTTGTGTGTGTTGCCTCTTCTTGTTCAATCGCTGAATGCTTTAATTGTAAGTTCCTTTGGACAAAAGTGCATTTAAAAAAAATAATGTGAGCAAAACTGTTGCAAACTATTTATTTGAGTTGAATTTAAACAAACAAATTAAATTTAATAAAATTCAACTTAATTTGTTTGTTTAAATTCAGCCCAAATAAACTGTTTACAGCCACTTAACGTAAATTTTTTTTAGTAAATCCAAGGAATAACCTCTGAATAATTTTTTTCAGTGTCTGCTAAATGACTGAACGGTAGTGTAAAAACTGAAATAATGCATATAATGTATCAAATACGGCTTCTTGACTTAAGCAGTTTTAAAAGATGAAATATAAGATTTAGCAAAGGAATAAGTCTTTATTGTGAGAAATATATTATCAAGTGATAACTTTTACCTTTGAGAAAGTGAACAGTGACATAAAAATCATAGGTGTAAAAATATAAGGGTGACTATTTTAGGCACCAGCGTAAGACCATTAGCAGATTTTCAAGCTTCTTCTTTTAATCCCTACAGTCAATTTAAGTTGATTATTTAAGCCAGTGCACACAAACATTGCCAGGGGAAACTGCATTATTTTACATGTAAATAATTTCATTTACTCCTCACCGTGTGTGTTACAGTATTACTATATATGCAGTATCACATTTTAGTCATTTTTAATTTTCAGTTGCATTAATACAGGTATACCTTATATAAAACATCATACTGTAGAATAGCACACTTTTTAAATAGTTAGAATTCTCTAGAAGTTAAACTAAATGGTCACAAACATAAACATCATGCTATAGCCAAAATATGTATTACAATTACCACACTGAAAGAACAGTTGAGAAACCTTAACTTACGTACCTGATTCCTCAGTGGTCTACAAGGGTCTGAGATCTTGACTGTAAAAGATAAGAGAGAAAACAAGCATCATGAGGCATTCGGAGCAAGCAAGACAGCCCCAAAACTGGGCGTTACTCCAAACGTACTCCTTCACATCATTGAATCAGCACTGCTAAAATTGCTCAACCAACATTTCAGGCATCACAAATATCTCTCTTTAAATCAAATTTATTGACACAGCATTTATTTTTTTGTCTGTCTTTTAATGGAGAAAGAAGCGGACCAGTAGGGCAATTCACTTAAATTTTGTTTTTGCTATTCAGATTTCTGCTAGCCCTGCTAACACCTGCTCACCACTTGCTCTTTTGCAAGCCAAGTACAGAGTTAATAAGTAATAGCCAACAACAAAGAAAATGCTTAAAGCTAACTCTAAGTGTTATAGACTTCTCCACCATATACAGAGAATGACTACATTGATGCATACAAGAGATGAAATGAATCGCTTAAGCTTTTTATGTAAATCATACCTGTACGCCAAACATCAGAAAGGAAAACATTAGACTGTGTTCACCAAAGCATTTCTACGCAGCTAAAAATGTCAGCGCTCTATAGCTTTGGGTGCTTGTTAGTGCTTTTGTGGCTTTTGGGTTTTTTCCCTCCATTGTGAGAGTGATCTAAAAATGCTAAGGTGTCTTTATGGTGTCTTTTTTCTCAGCTTTGTGACTGTATTTGTGCCATTTCTTGTGTTGTTTTTCAGTAAAAATATACAAGATGCTTCATTATATTTTGACCTCAAAAAAAAAAACACTGATAAAAACATCAGTTTGTAATTTAAATAAAGGAATTGAGAGAAGCAAAGAGATAAACCTTTTACATCTTAACCCTTTAGTTATTTTAGACTATACATGATCAAAATAAACAACTTTGTTAAGATCTCTTCAACCACAGCATTAGAAGAACCATGCTAAAGTTATTTATCAAATTTGAATATTTATTTGGTCAATAAATCAGTTCAGAATGGCCTTTCAGCTATGGTTTTTCCTTATCTGATAGTGTTGAAAATGCCACCGATTTCCAATGGCATTGGTCTCGGCGATAATTTTAAAACCATAAACCAATCTGTTACCATTTTTTAAAGGAGACCATATAGTTTTGCTTAACATTAACAAGTAATTTCTCATTCAAAAAAAAAATAAATAAACTAAATAAAGCATCTGAAGGCTCATCAACCTGTAGTACAGGGGTGTCCAAACTCCTACAAACTCCTGTCCTGCAAAGTTTAGCTCCAATTTCCTTCAACACACCTGCCTGGAGGTTTCTAGTATACCTAGAAAGAACTAGATAGTTAGTTCAGGTGTGTCTAGTTGGGGTTGGAACTAAAATATGCAGGACACCGCCCCTCCAGGACCAACTTTGGACACCCCTGCTGTAGAACACTATGGCTTCACAAGTAAGTTAGTTAGTTAGTTAGTTAGTTAGTTAGTTAACTTTATTTGTCCCTCTAGGGAAATTTCATTTGTTGCTTACACTCACAGAGGCATCTGACATTTCACATTTGGCATTTATATAATAAATCATTTAATAATAATAATACATTTTATTTAAAGGCGCCTTTCTAGCAACTCAAGGACACCGTACAATCAACAAGAATAATAAAACAACAAGAGAAATAATAAAATATACACAGCAATTGTGCAAATAAAATTAAGTATTAAATTAGGTATAAAAACATGGTTCCTCTAAATAAATAATCCAGTCTAGCTGTCAACTGCTACTGAGACATGAGGAATTTAAAAGCTTAACTGCTTAAATGTTAATTTTATCCTACTTCTTACACATCTGGGAACACATTATCGATGACCTGATGGAAGGTGTATGAAAAAGGATGTCTCTCATCGTTGACAATCATGATAGCCTTATTTAGTACTCTTACTATCAATACTCTTTCATTTTATTCCCAACTACATACTGGCTGTTGTTACCACCTTTCTCAGTGACTTCTTCTGGGCCTCAGAAGCATTTAAATGCCAACAGATCGCACACAATGTTGCAACACTGTTGACTATAAAAAATGATCAACAATGTGTTGACAACATTAAAAGACAAAAGTTTCTTTAAGAAGTAAATTCTCAGTTTTTCCTTATACAGACATTCCATACAAAACACTGGATGAGCCAGAATCAATGAAGTTTGAAAGGGCCATTGAAGCAAAGCAACAAGTTTTACCTGGTCACAATGAGCTCCATAAGCTATTTGAGAGTGCATGAACACACCAAATAATTAACATGATATCGGAATCTTTATTGGAAACAGAAAAAGGGATCAGAACATACTTTACTGTCATCCACTGTGATTGGACGGCTGACTAAAATATGATTTTGATTGCACTGAACTGCAAAAAAATGAAAAATAAAAAATAAAACATTTTAAAAATTGTGGATTTCTGTCATAAAGCTATTGTGCTTTGTCCATTTGTGACTGGGGGTACACATTAGATAATATTTCGGATTCCCGAACAACTCTGCTTCTAGGTCAAAACGCATGCATGAGAAGTGATGCAGGAAATGATATAAGATCACGCATGAGCAGAATTCTGGCATGGGATTTCCTCCAAATTAAAATGGTGATCCAAATGAGCATGCAACCCAGAAAAAAAGAAAAGAAAAAAAAGGATTCTCTTAAGTCCATATATGCATATTTTTTTACATTGCAGATCTTCATAACTGATTTTGTTTTTGTGACTGCATCTGATTTTCTTGAAAAACCGTACACCAAAATATCTGGGGTTATGTTTTCTACCCAAATGTTGGGTAGAGGCAATTTTGTAATTTTTAGGGGTTAATTTCTAAATCTTGGGTAGTTTTTGGGTAGAGCTATGTAACCCAAACCTGGGTTATTTTCTGGGTAATTATTGCTAAGAGTTAACTAATGCAACCCTAGCACCACACAGACACATTAACTCACAGCAGGGGCTGATTGGGATGCCATATATTTGATTGTTACCTACCTACCTACCTATCTGTGTGTGTGTTTTGTGTTTAAATGCAATGCTTTCATTGAACACAAATGAGTAATTTTGTTTATCCCGCGGTTAATGATTTAAAAGAAAACAAAAATTACATATGAAAATATAACCTATTTATTAAATCAAATTAGCCTATTATTAAAGTAAAAACAACCAATTATTGGGTAGAAAAAAACAACCTGTGGGGTTAAAATTAATAACCCAATTAATTGTGTTAATTTAACCCCTGACGTGTACTGTCCTATATTTACCCAGCCGTTGAGTTGAAAACAACCCAATTTGGCTAGTTTTTAACCCTGTGTTTTTTAGAATAAATCTTCTTTTAAAAGTTTTAAAAATGGTGAAGGAAAAGTGAGGACCATGCCCAGAACTAGTTGATGTTGCATTTATGTTAATGTGCGGTCATCAATGCCACATACTGTCTCTGATGCCACTTATCCAATGCCAAGTGCCACGTGATATCTGCAACTAAATTGACCAAAGATGAATTAAATGAGGGTGGAAAGTACTAGTTGATCTATTCCTATATTAATTACATGGTTTAATTCAAGATTTAGGCTTCTTTCATGAACATAGCATCCTTAAGCGCAGTGTCATTTCTATTTTTCTCTACACTGTTGGCAAAGCTGTTGCTTAGGTTGATTGTTATTGTTTTTTGACAGAAATATTTACATCTGGCCATCTTTTATTGATCTAGGCTTTTTTTAAAGCAGTAAGCATTTACATTTCATGTCCATATAATGTGATTTATGCACAATGGAACTAAAATATTTTGATCATGTGGTTTGCAGTAGTTTTGTACTGTTTACACTCTTTCTTTCTCTCTCTCTCTCTCTCTCTCTCTCGTTAATCTGTTGCTTAAATGCATTACCTGGTCATACTTTAAAATAAGGTTTCATTAGTCAATGTTTTTACTAACATGAACTAATAATAAACAATACTAGCATGGCATTTATTTATCATAGTTTAACATTTCCTAACACATTATAAAAAAACTAATTCATGGTTGTTGATATTTTAATTAATTTTGTTTTCAACGTGAAACCCTTTATCATGCTTTTATGTTATGTAACAGGCTTGGTCCTTTTTTTCAGGTCTTCACTAATTTGTTCGTTTTGGTGAGATGTTTTCTTTGGAAACGATCATTTGTGGTTATAAGTATACACGTAAATGTTATTTTATTTTTTTTCTGTCAGCTATTACATCTTCTTTTGGGTCAAGCAAATATGGCAATTTATGACACTAGAAAGGTACAAGTTGAGCAAAACTCAAGTGGCTGTTTAAAACATTTTTTTTAACATTTTTAATTTTTTAAATACTGAAATCCAGAATTTTTATTGATTTTCAGTATTACAAAGCAATGGGTGATCTTATGTGTTTTGAAAAGATTTAGTGTTACAAAGGAGTTTTATGTCAAATTTGTGATGAAAATTTAGAGTTTATGGTTTATTAGGCTGTTTTAAATTTTTATGTGTAACATTTGATTGTATAATGTCTTTAAATTTTTTATTTAAGGCGTGACGAAAAATCTAAATTCTCTCTCATTCTTCCTCTCTCTCTCCCTCTCTTTCGTTAATATGTTGCTTAAATGCAACTAATAATAAACAATACTTGTATGGCATTTATTTATCATAGCTTAACATTTCCTAACACATTATTAAAAAACTAATTCATGCTTGTTAATATTAGTTATTGCATTGAGAGTAACATCAACTAACAATAAACGACTTTAATTTCATTAACTAACTTTAACTGCCATGAACAAATAATGGAATAAATGTGTTTTCCAATGTTTGATCATGTTAGAAAACTCAGGGGTTTTCAAACTTTGATCCGCGGAAAAAAAACATTTTTTCTGAGATACTTTTTTCCAATCCTAAAATAAGTAATAATGGTTATAAGTTATTAATCTATATATAGTTTTATGATTTATAATACTTAATTGTAATATGTTTATCCTAAAATCCTTTGCGCTCTTTAAGGTTTTGCATTCAGTTGAATGGAGCAATTAGCGGCTGTAAGTGCAGTACAGAT